TTTTTTTTTTTTTTTTTTTTTTTTTTTCTCAATTATTATGAAACTTTAAAATCGAAGAACTTTTTAAGTATTACTCACAAGTGTGTTTGTGTGTATAAATACTCAGGGGAGGTCGTGATATCTATTGTGTGAACCGAAGGATTTTGTTGGAAACAATGGAAAACGAACTCCCGAAAGGTTCCGTTCGGTACTCTTCCAAAGTGGTTTGTATCGAAAACGATGGCCCGTTCAAGTCTCTTCATCTTGCCGATGGAACTATTGTGAAAGCCAAGGTAATTTGATTGAACACCTTTTGTTTAGTAGACAATTATGTATAAATGCTCTAATGTGTTTTTGGTTCGAATCCCCTAAAACTTATTTAATATGTAATTTAAGGTGTTGATTGGATGTGATGGAGTGAATTCGAAAGTTGCAAAGTTTCTAGGCTTTAGTAAGCCGTTTTTCGTGGGGCGATCGGCAGTTAGGGGATTTTTCGATTTCGAGGAACCTCATGGTTTCGAGCCGAAGGTTATGCAGTTCTTTGGAAAGGGCGTAAGATATGGCGTAGTCCCATGCGATGATCACGGGGTTTATTGGTTTTTCACTTTTAGTCCATCTCCACAAGGTACACTTTTACATGGCACTCGAATTTTATAAAGTACATAATAACACAGTGAATGAGATTATGTCTCGATAACTTATGCAGAGAAAGATATCGTTGAGGACCCGACCAAGTTGAAGCAACTCATACTTAGTAGACTCGGTAAAGTTCCCGACAAAATCAAGCATGTTGTGGAGAAAACCGAGCTACAAAACATGGTTTTCTCCCCATTAAGGTCTCGTCGCGCATGGGAATTGGTTTGGGGGAACATAAGCAAAGACAATGTTTGTGTCCTTGGAGACGCTTTGCACCCAATGACTCCTGATATGGGACAAGGAGGATGTTCGGCCCTCGAGGATAGTGTTGTTTTGGCTCGGTTCTTGGCGGAGGCCATGAAGGGAAAAGGGTCGGGCGGTGAAGAAACCGAGGAATGGAGGGTTCGTGTGGGGTTGGAAAAATTTGCTCGAGAGAGGAAGTGGAGAGACTTTGATCTTGTATGCACGTCGTACGCGGTTGGATTTATGCAACAAAGTGATGGGGTCGTGATGAACTTCGTTCGGGATAGAATAATTGCTAGATTTTTGACGGGTTTGTTGTTGAAGAAGACTAGTTACGATTGTGGTAAGCTCGTTTAGGGGTTTCTTGATGGATATCGTTTGACGTGCAATTGTTTTTTGTCGAAATCGATACTTGTTTTTGTTGGTGATATGTACAATCTTTTGAGTCATTCTCATCTTAAGTTTGTTAATCAAATGGGAGCTGCAATCTGGTGATACGTCGAATACTTACTCTCATTAAACGATATGAACCGCTCGTAGATTCAGATTGCTTCATTTGATAAATGAGCAATTTTCGACTCGTTAAGATAGGAGATTATTTATGCCATTTTTTATAATTCAAACTCGTGTCTCAACTCACGAGCGTAGCTCGACTTAATTAAGACTTGAGCTGAGCTCCAGTTTGACTCATTTATACCTTTTAAGAGCATTATTTCAAAATTAGCATTTTCTATTTTGTTTATTTTTTCCTGATTATCCCTAAGCACATCCTTAAATCTGAACTTATGCCTTTTCCTTTCTTGTTATCTTGACCCAAAAAAGAAAAAA